CCTAGTTCGATGTTAATCGAGCCAATGATCAAAATGCATATCCTATGGCCTCGACCTCGAAATGATTTTAGCCAAAAAACGTCGTTTAGGCTCTAAAAATAAACCTTTTTAGTTTTTCGAGATGATGTGAGCTATCGGGTTTTTGAATTCTTGGAACGATCGAAAGAGTGACCACAAAAAAATCTATAGTAAACCCGCTGACCCAATTTTGAGGGTTTTTGGACTAATCTCATGTCAAACGGGGCAATCATCAAAACTCATTGGCCTCAACGATGACCTAGGGTTATTTTGGCCAAAAAAGGTTGATAAACTTTTGAGCTATTTTAGATCTATTTCAATGCCAAACGAGTGAACGATTAAAACTCTTTGCCTATTTTCATGAACTCGAGGTGATTTTGGCCAAAAAAACATTGTTTATGCCCTAAAAGTACTCTTTTTCAGTTTTTGAGTTGATGCGGGCCATCAAGCCTTTGAATTCCTGAAATAGTTGATATGAGCGAGCGTGATAAAATCTATAAGAAAATTGTTAACCTAGTTTTGAGGCTTTTTAAACCTACTACATGCGAAACGGGACAATCATCGAAACTCATTAGCCTCGATAATGACCTAGAAATGATTTTTGTCAAAACACATCGACCAAGTTTTGAGCTATTTTAGACCTAGTTTGATGCCAAACAAGCTAACGATCAAAACTCATCGCCTATGGCCTCAACCTTGGGGTGATTTTTTTCAAAAAAATATCGTTTAAGCCTTAAAAACACATTTTTTTAACTTTTTGAGATGATGTGGGTCATCGGGCTTTCAAATTTCTAGAATGATTGGCATGAGTGAGCAGGATAAAATCTATTAGAAAATTATGAGCCCAATTTTGAGGTTTTTGGACCTATCTCATGCCAAACGGGACAATCATCGAAACCCATTAGCCTCGACGATGATCTAAGTGTAATTTACGTCAAAAAATATCGACCAAGTTTTGAGTTGTCTTAGACCTAGTTCGATGCCGGATTAACCAACAATCAAAACTCATCCCCTGCTCATGAACTTGAGGTGATTTTGGCAAAAAAATGTCCTTTAGGCCCTAAAAATACAATTTTTTAGATTTTCGAGATGATACGGCCAAACGGTTTTCAAATTCTTAGAATGATCGGTATGAGCAAGTGCAAATAAATCTATAAAAAAACAATCAGCCTAGTTTTGTGGTTTTTTGAACCTACCTCATGCCAAACGGGACAATCATCAAAACTTGTCGACCTCAACGATGACCTAGTAGTGATTTTGGCCAAAAAATGTCAACTAAGTTTTGAGTTGTTTTAACCTATTTCGATGCTAAGCGAGCCAATTATCAAAACTCATCGCCTATGGCCTCAACCTCGTGTGATTTTTTCCTAAAAACATCATTTAGGCCGTAAAAATACTCTTTTCGGTATTTCAAGATGATGTGGCCCACCGAGCCTTTGAATTTCGGGAACGATTGACATGAGCGAGCATGAAAAAATTTATAGGAAAACTATCATCCAAGTTTTGAGATTTTTTGGACCTATCTCATGCCAAACGAGTCAACGATCAAAACACATCGCCTATGGCCTCAACCTTGGGAAGATTTTGGCCAAAAAACGTCGTTTAGGCCCTAAAAATAAACTTTTTTTATTTTTTGAGATGATGCGAGCCATCGAGCTTTCGAATTCCTAGAATTGTCGAAAAGAGTGAGCACGAAAAAATCTATAGTAAAGCTCGTTAGCCTAGTTTTTAGGTTTTTTGGACCTATCGCATGCCAAAGGAGCCAATAATTGAAACTCATCAGCCTTAACGATGACCTAGGTGTGATTTTGGCCAAAAAAGATCGATAAAGTTTTGAGTCTGTTTTAGATCTAATTCGATGCCAAATGAGCTAATGATCAAAACTCTTCACCTATTGCCATGACCTCAAGATGATTTTTGCTAAAAAAACATTGTTTAGGCCTTAAAAATACACTTTTTTAATTTTTCGAGATGATGTGGGCCATTGGGCTTTCGAATTCTGGAACGATCAGCATGAACAAGCATGATAAAATCTATAAAAAAACTATAAGTCCAGTTTTGAGGTTTTTTGGACCTATCTCATGCCACACGGGACAATCATCGAAACTCATTGGCCTCGACGATGACCTAGGAGTGATTTACGCCAAGAAAGGTCAACCAAGTTTTGAGTACGTTTTAGACCTAATTCGATGCCAAATGAACCAACGATCAAAACTCATGCCATTTGGTCATGAACTCGAGGTTATTTTGATCAAAAAATATCGTTTAGGTCCTAAAAATACACTTTTATAGTTTTTCAAGATGATGCGGGCTAGAGGGCTTTCGAATTTCGGAATGGTCGGTATGAGCAAGTATAAAAAAATCTACGGGAAAACTATAAGCACGAGTTTTGAGATTTTTTGAACCTACCTCATGCCAAACGGGACATTCATCGAAACTCATCGACCTCCACGATGACTTAGGGGTGATTTTGGCCACAAAAACATCGATCAATTTTTGTTGTTTTAAATCTAGTTTGATGCCAAATGAGCCAATAATCAAAACTCATTGCCTATGGCCTCGACCTCGGATAATTTTAGCCAAAAAAAGTCATTTAGGCCCTAAAAATACACATTTTTAGTTTTTTGAGATGATGCAAGCCATCGTGCTTTTGAATTCCTTGAAAGGTCGACATGAGCGAGCATGAAAAAATCTATAAAAAAAACTATTAGCCCGAGTTTTGAGGTTTTTTTGACCTACCTCATGCCAAACGGGACAACCATCGAAACTCATTGGCCTTATTAACAATGACCTAAAGGTGATTTTTCCCAAAAAAGGTCGACCAAGTTTAGAGCTATTTTAGACCTAGTTCGATGCCAAATGAGCCAACGATTAAAACGCATCACCTATTTCCATGACCTTGGGGTGATGGCCAAAAAACATCGTTTAAGCCATAAAATACACTTTTTAAGTTTTTTGAGATGATGTAGGCTAGATGGATTTCAAATTCCTAGAACGATCGGTATGAGCGAGTGCGATAAAATTTATAGGAAAACTGTCAACCTAAGTTTAACGTTTTTTTAACTTACCTCATGCCAAACAAGATAATTATCAAAACTCATGGGCCTTCACAACGACACGGGAGTATTTTGGCCAAAAAACGTCGACCAAGTTTTAAGATGTTTTAAACCTAGTTCGATGCCAAATGAGCAAACGATCAAAACTCATAGCTATGGCCTTGACTTCGAGGTGATTTTTGCCCAAAAAACATTGTTTAAACGCTAAAAATACACCTTTTTAGTTTTTCTAGATGATGCAAGCCATCGAGCTTTTGAATTCCTAGAACGATCGACATGAACGAGCGTGAAAAAATTTGTAGAAAAACTATTAGCTCATTTTTGAGATTTTGGGACTTACCTCATGCCAAACAAGATAACCATCGAAACTCATCGGCCTTAACGATGACCTATGAGTGATTTTTGTCAAAAAATATCAACTAAGTTTTAAGATATTTTAGACCTAGTTCGATGCCAAACGAGCCAATGATCAAACCTCATTGCTTATCGCCATGACCTCGGGGTGATTTTGGCCAAAAAACATCATTTAGGCCTTAAAAATACACTTTTTTAGTTTTTTGAGATGATGTAGGCCATCGAGCTTTCGAATTCCTAGAATGGTCGGCATGAGCAACACGAAAAAATCCGTAAGAAAATTTTCAGTCCAGTGTTGAGGTTTTTTGAACTTACCTCATGCCAAATGGGACAACTATCAAAACTTACCGAACTCAATGATGACCAAGGGGTATTTTTGTCAAAAAAGATCAACTAAGTTTTGTGCAATTTTAGACCTAGTTCGATGCCAAACGAGACAACGATAAAAATGCATCGCCTATGGCCTCGACCTCGGGATGATTTAGGCTAAAAAAACATCGTTTAGGCCCTAAAAATAAACATTTTTAGTTTTTTCGGATAAGACATCGGAGATAAATGAGAGGGAAACGTATTACAACAAGGTGATAAACTTAGAGAGAGGATCATTGCGGGTAAGCGCATTCATTTTAATAATCTGTTAGAGATTGGATTTAATGTGGCGATTATTTTGATAAATCGAGCTTATTGGACCTATTGATGTTTTCAAAAAATATATACCTTGATTATGTTAGGTATTTCTATGCTAGTTTGAAATCCGAAAAGATTAAAGGGAAAACTATTCTAACCGAAGAAATAAGGTGTTATAGTGGTTATTACAAAGGCAAAAATGCATGAGTATTTCAACTTACCAATGGAGGGGTACATTATTGATTTCGATAAGAAAAACCCAAATAAAAGGAAACAACTTTCTAATCTATCGAGTTATAATGAGAATGAATTTAGAAAACAATGTTGTCATGAGTATGTTGAAAGTGTGTTAAATCACAAGTATTTGACAAAGACTAGTTTTAAACCTAAGATTAGGTTTATTCATTATGCCATTATAGAAATTATCATGCCTAAGTTGAGTGGAAAAGAGTATATGTCAAGTCATGAAAAGGCCGTAATATGGCATATTATAAATAAACAACCTATGAACTTAGGCTGCTTTGATAGTAGATTGTATAGACAAGAGGAGTGAAAGTATAAGGTCTATAAATTATGGAAAGAAAAAAAACTAGATTGGCATATGGTATGATTCTCACTAGGTTTTTCAAAAACAATGGGTTAGACTTGGAGGGTTTAGATTATGTGGGTTAGGATGTGTTGAACAAGACCATTATATTGTTCATGAAGTTAGCCAAGACACCTCAAGGGTGGTAGCCAAAACATTTAGAAGCTATTGCTTATACTTTCTAATAGTTTGCTACAACCTCAAGTACTCACGCTACCGGTATTAGCATAGAAGCCTCTCAAGTACATGAAATAGAGAAGCAGATTGGAGACATTAGGGAGCAATTGAGAGCTTTGAAACAATTTATTACGGATGGATTGCAAGAAAATAGAAACGCTATCAGCAACATTAAAACAATACTAGCCAATGTAATGAAAGAGATCCAAACCAATCCTTCTCTGCATCACCAACAACACTCTCAATAGTATGGAATTCCGAGCATGAGGTTTCGGAACCTCGGGATCAAGAAACAACTCGGGATCAAGAGAGTGTTCATGAAAATCCGAGCCTCATCATGAAAACACTTAGAAGGATGCAAAAAAGCTTTTAATACTTAATCTTAATGGAGTTCTATTGAGCCTTGGGGATTCCTCAACCAAAAAGAATGGAGACATGAAACTAAAACATAAACAAAGTGAACAAAACATTATCCCGTACACTATTCCTTATTGTTTGTTAAGCTCCTTACCGATTTTATTTAATTATTTCTTTTTTTATGTTTTCTTTTAGTCTTCAAGAGGCCCCATGTTGATGATTTCTTAGAGTTTTGCTTCAACAAATTTGCAATTGGTATTTGGACGTCGCGAAACAAGTAAGCCCCTAAATTTTAAAATGTTACTCGGTGTGTTGAAAAAATTATCACTCGCTTCTTTGCTACTTTATATAATTTTAGAATGTTACTCGGTGTGCTGAAACTTCATATAATTCAAATTTATTACTGTTTTTTACAAAAATAATACAATTTCCATACTATATCGGTTATTCAAGGATAAAATCGATCGGTTCTATTTTGTGTGGGAAAGTATAAATCCATAATAAGTTTGATAAATCCATATTTTGTTACTTGTTGTATAATTTTGGTTTGAATGATTTCTTTGATGCACGACCAATCAAATTGCGACTCTATTGAGCTTGAAGATGGGGGCAAACCCTATTTTTTCAAGAAATTGACTAAAGTGTGGAATTAGTTTCCATACAATAAGTCAAATACATTGTTTGTGGATGATTTTCCATACAAGTTGATGCACAATCCGATAATATTATTACTCTTTTCCATGAAAATATTACGTATTCACCATATAATGCATTCACATCCTTGTTATTCTAATTATATAATGTTTTTTTTATAATTCATTATGTGATATTTCTAGACACTTACAAGCGTACCAACAGAGACAACTCGTTAGGTAATATTTTCAACATTTTTTCGCAATATATATGTACGCAATGTCCGAAACTATATTATTAACTATTTCACACCTATTGTTTCAAACATGAAGGAATGTTGAGCTTCAAAAATACCTAAAAAACCTAGCTAGTTTTGACAATGTTAGAGACTTTGTTGCGAGCAAATCCATTTGGTCGAAACCTCTACAAGAATCGGATCAACTTTATCGGACACTTAGAGAAAAAAAAACAACTTATCCACCACTCGATATTATCTTAGAAAAAAAATAAGAAATGACCATCTTACATACTAATTGTCTAGATACTTTTGCACATATTGTATTTGCCTTCGTACTTATAATGACTTTGTGAATGATACTTAACTTATATTGGTTTAGTTACAACTTCGTAATTAGCTTGTTTATTTGTAATTTCAAAATGCAACTATGTGCCGATAATCATTTAAATGAATATTAGTGTGATGAAAACTTGACCTCTATGCTAATAATCGGTTAAATGGATTTCATTTCAGCGTCCGAACACTTATTAGCATTTTGAAAATAGTACTTTACATTTTTTCAACTTGAAAAGGAACGATTTTGACTTTTCAACACACTAACTAGCATTCGAAAACACCACTTTGTTTCTTGTAACTTGAAAACGAAGGATAACAACTTTTCAGCACACTTATTAACATTTTGAAAAAAGTACTTTGGACTTTTCTAACTTGAAAACGAAGGATTTTGACTTTTCAAGACACTAACTAACGTTCGAAAGCACCACTTTGGTTTTTTATAACTTGAAAAATGAAAGAGACCAACTTTTCAACACACTTATTAGCATTCCGAAAATAGTACTTTGGATTTTTCTAACTTGAAAATGAAGGATTTTGACTTTTTAGCACACTAACTAGCATTCGGAAACCCCACTTTGGTTTTCCGTAACTTGAAAAACGAAGGATACCAACTTTTCAACTCATTTATTAGCATTCTAAAAACGAGTACTTTGGATTTTTCTAACTTGAAAACGAAGGATTTTGACTTTTCAAGACACTAACTAACGTTACGAAAACACCAATTTGGTTTTCTCGTAACTTGAAAAAAGAAGGATACCAACTTTTTAGCACACTTATTAGCATTCCGAAAATAGTACTTTGGAATTATTCTTCTTAATGAATATTTGATGTGATCTTGGATCTTAAATACCTAAATATACGAGAATGAAATTAATACAACAAATTTATACATAAACGAGTACTTCTATTTCATTATCGATTGCAAAACATACATTATTCATAACCCTTCATCTCCATTATATCAAAACAAAAACTAAAAAATAACGATTCTCATCTCCATGAATACCTTATGTACACTCCAATTACAAAGCAAAAAAATATCATCCATAATTGCTAGACCGACACGGTGATGGTGGAAGATTGATTTCCTCTATCCTCGGGTGTATTTATTTTTTAAGGCTCGGATTCGATAATGGGTGCCACATTTTCATAAGTTTCTAGAGTTTTATGAACTTACTATTGAAGTGCTAACATATGAGCCGCAAATCGCGTGGATGATCACCATAAAAGAATCTCGGATAAGATTTCTTAGCTTCGAAATGATTTTTGAAACCCCGATATAGAGCTCTAGGGAAACCAATCACTTGTGCTTCACAATCTTTCTATGAAATATAAACCCCATGAGCTCTACCCTTAAATATCGCATACGCTTTATTTCTAGCCATTTTTGAAGAATACTCCAACAACATAGATATTAGAAGAATACTCCAACGATAGAGATAACAAAGGAAAAAAAAACACGAGAGAAGGGTAGGGATGAACGAGCTATAACAAGTACTGCTAATAGACACCAAAGGGAAAAAAGAGATGGGATGAGATTGGTTGAGTTGGGCGGTCAAAAAGTAAATAATCAATGATGCACGGTTAACAAAGCCACTAACATAGATATTATAAATAAATTTGAAATTCAAATTTTGTTTTTCAAAATTACAAAACCCTAGTCCGAAATTTTCAATGGGTATTATGTTATTTAACTTTTTCATTTTTTAAGTTTACCCCTAAAAACTTTCTATTTCGAAAATGGTGTCCGTCACCATGGTGTCGCCAAGCATTTTCGAATGAAGAAAAGATGTCCTCATGATGCATCGAGCAAAAGTCAACAAAAAATGATTTGACATGATCGTCCAATTGGAAAAGCGAGATGTCATAACTCATAAGTCATGACTTCTTCGATCTTTTTTTTTTTTTTTAATGAAGTCCTTGAGAAATAATTTTGGTAATGTCTTGATTTGATTCAATAGAAGGTGCATTTGGTACGGAAGAATCTTCAACTCTCTCTAAGATATTTTAGATGTCAAAGAAAATAATGTTTAGTTTGTTTGCTAAAGACTATCAAATTCTCAAGAATTTAATAATTTTCTAAAACCAAAATATGTGATGTGCTTTTAAATAGGAGGAATCACATTTTCTTAGATGAGAAATGAAAGGTTTTTTAAAAAAAACTTAAAATGACTTCACTATTATTGAATGGACAAAAGTATTTTTTTTTTAAATAATAACAAAAGTAGTTTAGTTTTGGTATCGAAATATCCATTCATTTATTTTTTTAAGAAAATACATGTTTTGTAATTTGTTAGTAAATATATTATTTTACTTGTTAGTTATAATTAATATAACATGCATTTTCTCGTGGGCATAATTCTTTATAAATAAATAAAAACATCATGGTGCCAAATTAGATACTTTAAGCTTTAGGGGTAAAATAATAATATTATTAAAAAGATATTATTAGGAATTTTTATTTTCAAAAATCATATTTCCAATAATAATATTTTAGAACTACATCTAAAAAGGTTTAATATCAAATTTTGTCCCATTTTATTACGATTTGGTAATTTTAGGCCCTTAGTATCAAATTACATAATTTGAATCCCAAACTATTGAGTTTTTGAAAAAAATTGATCCAATTTTTCTAATTGCCATTATATAAATTGACCGTTACTTGGAATGCTAAAACGATATTATTTTGACATTTCATTGTAAATCATGTTTTTTTTAAAAAAAAAATTTAATATTTTTAACCCTCTAATCTTGAACTTTTTTAAAAAAAAATCTTTTTCTTATCAAATATTATAAATATTTTATAATTTATATAAAAAAATATTTTATAAATATTTTTAACTCCTTAATTTTGAACTTTTTTTAAATAAAATATTATAAACATTTTATAAATTTTTTTCTATAATTTATAAAATATTATAAGTATTGTTAATTATGTTTTTTACAATATTTTTTTTATAAAATGTTTGTAATATCCAATGAGTATTAAAATGTTTATAATATAAATTAAAATATTTTATAAAATAAAATAAAAAAGTTCAAAATTAGGGCGGAAGCCTCTTTTGTAGGTCCAAACCTGGAAGATGCTTCCAACGTTTTTTCACATTTTCTCTAATTGTTATTGTTTGTAATTGAAAACTGATTCTGATGCATATTTGTTTCTTGGAAACCAAAGATAAGAATTGTCCATACATTAATGTGTCTACTAAACTATTTGCTTTTTTTTTTTTTTTTTAATCTCAGAAAAGAAAGGTACGAACTTATATTGGACTCGAATTCCTGTATATGTTTCTTGGCTTGAACTTTGTAATCTAACTGATGGTTTTCTTCAAATTGTCGCTGATGTACTTGTTATCTATCCTATATTATAGGCAAGCGCGTCGCTCATTCCAGTCTAACTGAGATAAAGCTTATGGAAGTCACGAGATCCTTAGGAAATCATGCTATGGTGATTTGCTGTGATTATTATTTAACTGTTGCTTCTGATTTAGATATAAAGTTCTATTCTTAACTCTTTTGTGTTGAGCAGGACATTGATACAAATGAACCAAATAACAAGTCCAACCATCCAGAATCCCAAAAAAGAGGTACTCGTTCAAACTTTTCCTAGAATTTTAGTGTTAGTTCTTTTATTTATACTATACCTCAATACTAGGAACTGTTGTATTATGTTGTTTCTTTAATTATCAGGGAATAATTACAAGGTGGCTCCAATTGTGGTGTTCTCCACTTCATTTGTTCAGATCTTACATGCATGAAGATCATATCAGAAACAAATCAAAATAGATCAACTAGGAGTGACCAGACTATCTCAAAAGACATGGAACCATGGAAACACTCCCACAAGCATGGCTGAGGTCAGTTGATATGTGGAAATTCTCCCCCGTGCATATCAATTAATCAATCCCAGTAGTAGTTCTGCTCCACAGCTGACTTACGAATGATTGATTTTTGTAATGGTGCAGCCTGTTGCTTCAAGAGAGATGATTTTTTTTTTTTTTTTTTTCTCTTCCAGGAAAGGAGAATGCCAGAGCAAATGGAAACATTGTGATATTCAGTTGCATGATCAAGCTGAAGTTTCGCTCAATTAGATTGTGGTATTTTGTCTGGAAATATACTTTGATTCTTTACTCTTCCCATATATGCTTTCTTGTGTTCGTTCATGTACACTTAGATAAATTCACGTAGAATTTAAGTTTCAGCAGGACTAAAGGAGGTTACAGTGTTAATGTGTACCTGAGTAGACAATGCTAGATATTTCAGCAACGTATATAAAGTGTCAACTTGTGAGGAGACATTTTCACAACGAGTAAGATAAGTGTTAATCAATGCCAACCACTCATAATTTTGCGTTCTCTGATGTCACCTTCTATTTGCCTGACTGATTAAATCAGTTGGTGCAATGTTTGTCACGTTTTTATCGACTTTTAGTTGGTTATTCTTCCACTTGCTTTTTGCAGATACTGGTTACCAGTTGGTGCTCGACGTACAGGTACCGTGATTCGTATTCTTATGACCGCTGGTTTAATACCTCCTCCACCAATGATGGTAATGGGACGGAAAACGGGACTTCTTGGTGATACGTCGAATCCAGAGAAGTAAATAGCTCTGTAAAAGTTGACAGTTATGCAGTTTGTATTGACAGTTCTACAGTTCTGCAGTTTTGTACCTGTAAGCTTGATGAAGCACTGAATGGCCTCTGTACTATTAGAAGCTAGATCCCAGAAGCTTCAATGAATATCTTTCCAGCTGACTCTAGAAATCTTCTCTAGAAAAATCAGTCCATCGTTATCATAGTAAATGTCTATCTAGAGCGGATCTATTTATCATCCGGGTCAATTGTTTTTCAGGTTTGGATTAGTTCTTCAATTATCCAGCCCAATTAAAGCGAAGGCGCAGCTTGATTTATTTTCCCCTCAGCAGAAATGTATAGAAAGGAAAGAAGTCAGCCTAAACCAAGAATTGGCTTAGGCTTGCATGGTTTGGCTCAAGTTCAGCGGTCAGCAATCCATGGACCTGCCTTGACATATTTACTCCAATTTAGAATTCTTAGCCCTAAAACTGGACCCAGTCATTGCTTAGAGCTTCCAGCCCAATTCTCGAGACTGTTTCTATCTATATGGTTATCCTGACCCACCTTGAAACTTGTCTCCTTCTTCCTAGATTTGAGATGGTAGACGGTGGGGAGATACTGGGTTTGTATGGCGTAGTGGTGGAGTATTGGCCCATTGGATTTGTTGTTGAAGGCTGGTGGTGCAATGTAGGCTCTCTAATCACTCAAGTTCGTTCTCATATTTTCTGGATTGTGGGAAAAAGAGATCGACGACTCCATTTTGAGTGACTCCGATATAATTTCTTTTATTTTGTTAATTTTGTGTCTTATTTCGTTTAGTGGATTGTTGACCCATTTGATTTTGCGTGTTTCTCATAAATTCAAGATAGAGATGCTGAAATTTGGGCCTGTAATTTTGTTGGGTGTTGGAAATTCGAGGCTTGGAATGAAATTTGCAGTTCATCTTCTTTTGTATTTCATTTTTTTTTCTTTTTACTCCAAATCAATGTTTTTTTTTTTTTTTTAACTCACACATCCAAAACTTCTAATAGAACTACTCTATTAAAATTTGAATCTATGGCCTCTTGTTATAAGAAACCATTACCACTAGACTACAAGCTCTTTGATCCAAATCAATGTTTTCAACCTTTTATTTTTTAATCTTTATTTTTTAAAAAATATTCTTTATTAAATATGCTTGATCTATAATAAAATCTTGGAATTGTTTCTTCTATTATTATTATTATTATTATTTTGTTAGAAAAGTGTATGATTGATTTTATTTGCAAAGACAGAATAAAAAGATTGAAAAGATCTTAAACTAAATAATCGTAGCAGATAAAAAACAAATAAAATAAAATTCCGTTGCAAACCTAATCAAACTAATCATGATTATTCATCTAATCAAAAGAAGAAATATGTATAATATATTCATGTAATTCAATACGTTCTTATCAAACTTTATAGTTTATTTATAGTAAAGAATAAGAGAGTAAAATCTTCTTTTGGATAAAGTGATAAACTCTATAAAATTTAGAATTTTCTATAAATATATAATATATTTGAAAATTCAAAATTATGATTTATTGTTGTGTGTTCTTTAAGGACTTCTCACTTTTAAAATTAAAATGTTATTATTGATAAATGAAAAAGGTGAAAGGTGATTCTCGGTTATCAATTTCCATCTTATCTTCTAAAGTGATGTGGCTTGACATAAGAGAGTGGTCAATGGAGAGTGTCAAAACAGATGTTCCTAGCATCCCTAGTCGAGGGAAAGTTTGATTATGAAATCTTATGAGATTTTACATATAAACATTTTCCTATTTTGAACTTGCAAATTCACAAGTCTCATCATGTCACTATAAATTAAAATATTTGTTAAAGGACCGCGATATAATAACACGGGTGTGTAATACACTTTCATGATGTATTCATTTTGACAGATATTATGTCATGTTTTTGTTTTTTAAAACATTATTTTACTTGCCTTAGATTTAATATTAAAATTAGAGATGACAATTGATAGAGTATAAAACACATATACTCTCTATTTTGTTCAATAAATATTTATTAAAAATATTCAATGGATATTAAGGTAGGTAAAGATTAAAAAATACATACTTGTTAATATAATTTCAAAGTATTGTTAGTTAGTTATCCATTTTATTCCCTATTAATGATCACCAATTTATTTTGAATTTTTTTTTACATGTAGGAAGTTAATTGCACTTATTTTAAAAAGTAGGAAACAAGCTAATTTTTTTGAAACTTTAAGGACTAAATATGTGTAAACAAAGAATCAAAATGTCAAAAAAAAAAACAATTTAAGGACCAAAACAACTTTTTATTTGAAATTATAGAGACTAAAATAAAATATTTTGATATAGGCAAATAAACCGGATATAGGCCGAATAAAAATCTACAAGATGATTTTTTTAATGGGTATAGATAAGGTTATTATCTTAATAAATAGGATAAAAAATTGAATTAACAGGCCATTCACACATCACTCATCAAATCTAGTCAGCATGTTCTATTTTGAAGTATTTAGATTTTTTTTTTTTTTTTTTTTTTTTTTTTGCATTCTAATTAGAGTTATTTCAATAAAAAAAAATTTATACATGGTCAAAAAAATTAATCCGAATGATAAATTAAATATTTAAATAATTTTCGATGATAAATGAAATGTAATTAAAAACCTAAAAACAAATGAAAAACTCAAAATATTATATAAAGATAGAATGAGTTATTTATCCTAAATTTCTAAGCAAAAAATTTTCTCAATGAAGTCTTCATAGTATCATGCATACCTCAATTGGATTTACTTTCAAAATCTTTCGAATTTTATTTTATTTTATTTTATTTAGAGTATGAAATATCTATCCTTAAAATGGCATCATTTTACTACATGCTACTTGCCATCCAGACAAAAATATTAACCGTTGTAAATGTAGAGACTCAATTGAAGAATGTTTAATACTTACCAATTGAATTTAACACCATAAGTGCTATGTGTCTTGTAGATATTGAAGCCATGTGGCCTTTTCAGTTGTACTAAAGACAAGATTTAAAGCTATCATTGACGAGAAGGTCTGAATACTGCAAAAATAGAGATAAAAGAGGACGACACTAGGACAAATTAATAAGATTTGAAGAATAAGTGAAACAAATAAAGATCAATCAAAAGTAGAGGGGCTAAATGCATCATTAGCCCATATGTCATTTGTCTTTTCAATTACATCAACCACATGCATAATGGAGAAAAAATTTCCTAGTGATACGATATCAAACAAAAGTCAACAAAATTTAATTTGATATGAAAAATCCTTAATATTAGATTATTATCATGAAAAATTATATACCATATAAAACGGTGGTGATTTTAGCTCTTATTATAAGTAATATATGGTGCAATAGATTGACATGTGATTAATTTGTTGCCACTAATAACTGTCCAATTGGAAAGGTAGATGTCATAAGTCATGAGTTCTTTGATCTTTTTTTTTTTTTTTTAATGCTTTGAGGTCTTCTTCTTTGTAGCATAAGGAAGTTCTTTAGAAATAATCTTTTTAATGTCTTAATTTAATTCAATTGAGGGTGCATTTGACACGGGAGAATCTTCAACTCCCTCAACTAAGATATTTTAGATGTCAAGAAAATAATGTTTAGTTTGCTAAAGAATATCAAATCATCGAGAATTTAATATTTTCATTTAAATGTTTAAATCGCAAATTGGAAATTAAGGTAACAAGAGTTAAAGGTTAAAATGAATAAATGTTTTATTATTGATATGGATTAATCAAATGAACTAGTACACGCTAAGTCAAAATAGTTTTCAAAAGGTTAAATGAATTATTTATTCTCCAATGAACTAATTATGCTAATTAATTGGAATAGATGTTTTGAATGATGATTAATAAAAGTCTAAGTGATTAATTTTAGTTAAATTCAAATTTTCAAGAAAATAATAAGAATTAAGTTTAATTAACTTATTAAAAGAACATGATTAAGAATTGTATTTCATATTATTTATTAAATTAATTATCCAAGTTATATAAAAATTATTTAAAGAAAATTAAAGGAGCAAATAGGTTCATTTCAATTCAAAGTATTATTTAAAAATATCTAAGCTAGATTTTTTAAATATAAGTTTTTAACGCTTAACGGTTAACTAGTTTGACTATTACAAATAATGAAAAAAAGGAGATTTAGATAACATTTGTTCAAAAATTGATATTTTAGAGTTTAAATTACACAAATTGATAATAAAAATTTGAAATTGTCAAATTGTAGTAGAATAAGGAAAAATTTTGTCATTAAACCCTTAAAAAATATTTTTGTTTCTAGAACATACATAATGCACGTCTTCTGGTCGCTTGGACTCTACTTTACATATTTTGTTTCCAATTTTATGGTGATTTTAGCATTATTTTTACCGCAACTACTCTTAGCTAGAAACATTGAGAGATACTTCTTCTCAACTTGAAAAAAGAAAAAAGATTGACTTTCTCACTTCCCGTTCTGTTTTTCTTCTTTTCTCACAATCAAGCTTTGGACGTTCACTTACTTTGTAGGGGTTATAACAAGGAGTTTCCATTGAATATCTCTTAATTGCAACATTAGCCGTGCCTAATTTTCCTTTAAAGACTTTCCCAATTTTCCTTTAAAGACTTTTCCGTAGCTTCCAGAACTTATAACTCCCTTTAGTGTTGCGTATTCTTGTGCAATTGGTCTACTTAAAATCTTGTATACTCCAGGATGGATTGTTCTTCTTGAACAATACTGTTCTTTTCTTGGCCACTACCCCCTTTTCCCCCTTTCGTCCTTGGGCAATGTTGCTTCCCCATTTCCCCCTCTTGTTCTTGGACCATGTTGCTACCACCTTTCCTCTCTTGTTGGACAATACTGCCACCATTTTTGTTCTTCTATCTTCTGCTCCTCCTTTTTTTATTGCGACCCATTTCTTTTCTATTGCTACACAATAAATTAATGCATTCACAATAATTCTGATTTATTTAGTGAATTTTTAGATTTCTATTCTGATTTGCTTAGTGAATTTTCCTATTTATGTGAAGAAGGAAACGAAGAAACATACCTAGCTAAGATTTTCAAAAACCAAATACTGGATGAAGAGAGTAAATATTCTCAAGGTCTTTCATGATTAGAGAAATTATTGTTTTGCAATAAAAAGAAATACATATATGTATATATATTATTTTATTTTTTATTCATTTTTAGATAAATGATTTTTTATTTCTAGCTGCAGTGAATTTTTTTTTTTTTTGAGTGTTCCAGATCGACATGCAAAATTAAAAATTTGTATTAATTTGTTGTTTAGGCTTTGCTATGCCTGATGACTCAAATTAGAATTATTGAAACTATTTTATGGTCAATATAAATATTTTCATTTTCTTTAAGAAAAAAATGATATGTGATGGCACGTTATGTATGGATTTTTAAATAAAAAATTGTAATAATTTAGAAAACAAAGAAAAAAATTTAATCGTCCAATTTTATGATTTTTTTTAAACATAATTTTGTAGTTTATATATATATATATATATATATATCAATTTCATCCTTTAAGAAACATGATTTGTTCTTGTTTATGTATGGATTTTCAAATAAAAATTTGTGATAATTTAAAAAGCAAAGTAATAAGTATTTATGGTCTGATTTTATGATTTTTTAGAAAAAATTTTGTACTTAATTATTGTATTTTAAAAATATATTTTAAAATTTTATTTTAAGTTTAAAATTTTATTTTTATTTTTTTCCTTTATTTTTTGTCATATGGCAATTTAATCTTGATATGTTATGAGAAGAGTTATCATTAATTTTTATTTTTTTTTCACATGTCATGTTTCTGAGTCGAATTCAAAGATTAGAAGAACGTGATAAATAAGAATAAAAGAGCGATAAATAAAGAAAAAAAAAGAGTAGAGTTCATTAAGAAAACATCAACACCAAAGAAACGAATTATGCCATTTAAAAAATGAATTATGCATTAATTCGCATTTCTTAGGTTATTTTATGGGAATTGATAAGCGGATCACATAAAATGAATAAATTTTGGGCTTTTTTTTTCACATTTGGTAGTTATTTTTTAATTTTATTAATTGAGGTCTTTTATTATTATTATTATTATTATTGGCTTGTTTCAGACCTTTTAGTCTTCGATATTTTTTTGTTCATATCTTTAATTATAATATCACTAATTAATAATCAATATATGATATTATAAAATAAGAAATTTTAAAGAGATGTTTATTACTGATTAATGACATTGTAAAAGAGGGTTGGAAATAAAAAATTTCGAAAAGAAAAATTGCAATAACCTGGAATAAAGGGAGGGGAGAGGGGAGAGGGGAGGGCTGGTATAAATAGGGGCAGCAACTACCACCGTCCAGAAATTTCTTCTTTTTTTTCTTCTTCTCTCCTTCATGCCATTTCTCTCTCAAAATTCCTTTTAATTCTCTCTTCAATTCCTAAGCTAAATCATTGTTAAATTAGCTTAAGAAGACCATAAATAAGAAGATTCAAGTGAAGCTTAGCTAGATTTCAATTTGAAAAGCTTGGAGAGTTAGGATTGGTTTTAGGATTTCAGCTTAGCTATAAATTACTTCAGATGACTCACATTCAAAAACCACAAAGAAAGCACATTGAAAATTCTTCCTCGATGTTTTTTATAATTTTTTTCGTTTTCCATTTCTCATGTCACTGCAAAGATAATTGTTAAAAAGGCTAAATGGATGTTGTTGAAAGTTGGACTTTAGAAGTTAATGCTTTAGCATCTGTCATGTGATGATATTCTTGTCTGTCCTTGCTTTCTGCTTGAGAAAATTGGCTGATTGCAGTAATTTATTTACCAATACCTAATAGTGACATGGAGACCTTAGATTGGACAACTCCCTTTGCCAAATTAATTTTTTCACTAAATAGCATTGGATGGGTTGAAAGCTAAATTTCCTTTTTCAGGTTGAATGAACTTAAGATTAATCTTTGCTTTAATGTTCTACGCCTGCCATCGGTTACAACGGACAAGTGGAAGATCAAACCAAGTATATTCTCTAATTTTTTATTTCTGAAAGTGAAGAGAGGCAATTCATGTAGAAATGCTGTTTGGCATGAAGAAACATTCTTAAACTCGCTTTTCCGTATCCATGTTTTGTTGCTCTGAATAAAAATGTGGCTGAGATCTAAAGTGGCATAAATAGAAAGAAGTCTAGCTATTTCCCTTTCTTGAAAACATTGTGCTCCATCGGGGCACCACTGCTCTGTCTTTTTTACTGAATCTCCTCTTTTATGCTCATGACATATTGTAATATATCAGCAAATGATTATTAAAGGCAAGCTTCCAGCTCATTTTTAACTCGTTAACTGCTAATCAAATGATCTTCTACTCCCATTGGAATTTTCGTTTTTATTTTTTTTAATTCTTCTCCGTGTAGTGTTTGATTGTTTATAGAAAGGTAGATTAAACTTCAAGTTTAAAATATTCGACCACAATTGCAAAAACAATATATCTAATATGTGAAAGTAGATAATTTTTTCCACTTATTAGAGCAAGGGAATTTGCTTAATTTACAATTAAATATAATTTTTATTAAAAGAATCATTTCTTTTAACAACCAATGCTGGTAACATAATGTTAGTTGGTAGTATCAATTGAAGTACTAAAGTGCTATTTGGTAATCATGAATAAAGTGGTGGGAATGAGAATGAAAGTTTTATTCTCACGTTATAACTATTTAGTTAAAAGGAATGAAATGGGAATGAAAATAAAGAGTGTGAAAAGAATAAAAATTTATACGTAACTTCATTCTCATATAAGATGTGAGAATAAAAATAAAGAATTTTTTTCAAAATAATAATATATTTTATTTATTTATTGTCTATTAACTATTTTATCACCATCACAAGCATTACATGCACCACCACCACCATCACAAGCACCACTACCATCGTCACCGCAATCACCACTACTATTAGAACTACCACCGCCATAACCACCACAACTATCACTTTTATTATTTTTACAATCATTATTGTTTGATAAAATTATTTTTTAATCATTATTTTTATTTGTATAAAAATTTAAATTGCATTTCGATTCCCTATTAGTATTCCAAACACAGTATGAGAATACAAATGTTATTTCAATTCCTTAATTTTTATTTCAATTCCTACATTTCTATTATAGACCTTTCATTCCCGATAACCAAATGACAAATAATTGCTTAGTAAAGGAATGGTGGCAATCCGTTTAAGCATGACTTTGCTTTTAGTGGTCATGTTTTATGCTTATGAGGTGTCGCTTCCATCCGCCTTTTTCCTTATGACTATTTATTAAATCTAATAATTATTATTATTATTATTATTTAATAAAAAAATGAATTTAAGGTTTTATCATAAATAAAAAGTACAAATAAACTCCAATGTAATGTTATCTCAAGATTTGAACCCATATCTTTCGAAAACAAAATTTTTTTTGAGCTTATTGTAATTTGGATGTCACCATGTCGATCACAAAATAGTAGTCAATCCAAACTACTTAATCGCCACTGTATTGCTAAATAAACATGCAAGGACATTGGATAGATAAATAAATATATAAAAAAAATTTCTTGTTTGTTTGTTTTTTTTTTTTTTATGGATATCGAAACATATAAATGTGAATATTTACCTTATAATACCAAAGATCACTACATTGACAAAACTTCCTAAAGTCATTCTACTATAAATGGATTGACATTTATTCAATTTTAATATATCTCGCAATTTTACAATATTCAATTAGGTATTTTTTTTTCGTAGTTGTTGTTTTATTGTGCTTGAAGAGTGTTTTTAATATCCTCGACCTAAAAACTTCCTTAGATGTATATATGTTTGTATGAATAATTATTTAATTAATATAAGAATGTTTATTTAATTAATGTGTGAATTAATAAATTACCGCTTAGGCTTGCATAAAAAATAAATTAATGCATGCATAAATATTATGTAAGGTAAATGATTTCTTTAATGCTTGAAATAATAGGCATCGATATTAATTATTATGGCTATATGTTAACCTAGGTGTGTCATTGTAAAACCGGAGAGATGTAATCGTAATAATTAAAAAGTTGGGTACTTAATTAAAATGATTAAGAAATTAAGTGACCATTATGAGACTTAGAAAAGCCTAGATTAAGGACTAGATTGTGAAAAATTGGAAGGTTATGAATTGAAATTTAAAGACTCGATTGAACCAATTAAAAGTTAAGGACTAAAGTATAAAATTTTAGTGATTTGTGGGATCAATTAATGTAATGTCATCTCAAGTTTGTGCCCACATCTTTCTAGAACAAAATATTTTTGGATTTATTGGAATCTATATCTCATTATAGACCAATCCAAACTACTTAAACGCCATCACGTTAAATATGCATCGACATTGAATAGATAAAATAAATATAATAATTTTTTTTAATTTTTTTATGAAAATCAAAACATATAAATGTAAATCTATACCTTATAATATAACAGATCACTACTTTAACAAAACTTTCTAAAGTCATTGTACTTTAAACAAATTGATTGTTATCATATATATAT